TGGATCGCCCAACTATGCCCTTATTTGAATCAATTATAGGGAATAAAGGTAGTGTTTGATAAAAGTGGTTGCATTTTTCCCTCTAAAGATCTAAAGATCAGGTCTACATTATTTTTTTATTTCCCAAAGGTCTTGTGAAGTCAAATGGTTATCCCTGGAAGCAACAGAGAAGATTTGCTCTTCACACGTTCAGAAACTTTGGTCTGGGGAAGAAGACCCTGGAGTCATCCATCCAGCAGGAGTGCCAGTATCTCACAGAGGCTTTTGCAGAACACCAAGGCATACATTCTTTTTTTGCAATATAGTGACATGTTATTTATGTTTTTCATGTTTTATAAAATTTAAATATAATTTCTCCCTGCATACCATATGACATTAGAGGATTCGGAGTACTAAAGACTTTCCTTTACCTGTGGCTCATCACCTGATTTATGTTATAACAAGGGGTTCTAATCAGAAGCCAAACAGCAAACAGCACCCACTGTTTCTCCACTTGTTGACATGCATTTTATCCTGTTCATTTGATTTTAGCTTTATTGATATAGCGCCAATTCTTTCTTTAGATTAACAATTATTTGTTATGTTTTGAAACAATCTTTCTCTAATCCACCAATGTTTATTTCTAGGCCTCATGAACTGTGTACATTTTGCAATGTTTGAACCACTTGCAATTTTCAAAAATTAGGTCCCATTTGTTCCCAACTGAGCCCTGCCATGTAGCTGGCCCCCATCATCTTCTAAAAAAGATTCTTTATTATTTTAGTATATTTAAAGAGGTGTTTTTCTTCTCATTTTCCAGGCAAACCCTTTAATGCTAAGAACCTGATTAATAATGCAGTCTCAAACATCATCTGCTGTTTGGTGTTCGGCAATCGATTTGAGTACACTGACAAGCAGTACCAGTATGTTCTCCAGACAATAAATGACATTATTCGATTACAGGGAAGTTTGACAGTACGGGTGAGTGAACTTCACTCACACTCTCATGTACTTCTAGTTCCAGTCTCAAGCTTGGATGTAAAATGTGTACCAAATCGATCTGCAGGTCTATCTGCTGATGATGTCCCCTTCAAAATAAGAGAGCAGCTGAAATTGTATAAGTACTATAAGTACAATGCTTAAGAAAATATACTTACTGTTTTTCACCACTTTGTATAACAAGTGAAATATACTCCAGAAAGGATAATTTACTGAATGTGGATCTACAACAAAACAATAACAAGTTCATCCATCACCTGTAAGAGCCCATTAGAACCAATTCAACCATTCATTTTCTAATGCTTCCTGGCCTGAGATAGAGGATGCATCAAATAATGTAAAATGTAACTCAGATTTACATCTAGATATCCTTTCCTGCAAAGATACTGCTGTGCTGTGGAACACGTGAAAATACAGTAATAATGATCTCTATGAATGCTGTTGATACAGCCAGGCAATCAGATAATCTGGTTACTGTCTTCCTGCTCTGCAGATGTACAATACATTACCCTGGCTGATGAGGTGGCTGCCTGGATCACACCAGAAAATATTAACCTTGATAAAGAAAATAGCTGAATTTGTAGAAACTAGGATCAAAGAACACCAGGAAAACCTTGACCCATCATCACCAAGAGACTACATTGACTCCTTTCTCATAGAAATGGGAGAGGTCAGTGTTTTAATGTGCTTGTTTCTTGCTTGTCTTATATAAAAGATGGGTTTATGAGATTTAAAAGTGTCCCATCATTTTTGGTGTGTGTGTGTGTGTGTGCAAATAATGCACTATGCAAATAATCAAATATCACGATTATCTGTTGATAGAAGGAAGATAAAGATTCTGGGTTTTACCTAGAAAATTTGAAGGCTTGCACCATGGACCTGTTTGGCGCTGGAACTGAAACCACAACTACTACTTTACACTGGGGGCTTTTATATATGACCCACTACCCTGACATACAAGGTGTGTGTATAAGTAATATCTACCAGCAATATATAGTTTGTGAGCTTAGTCAACTGTGCAACACACTTGTTTTCCTGTTTTCTGTGTGTGCAGAGAAAGTCCAGGCTGAAATAGATGCTGTGGTTGGTTCATCCAGGCAGCCGTCTACAAGTGACAGAGAAAACATGCCGTTCACTGATGCAGTTATTCATGAAATCCAGAGAAGTGGAAATATCATCCCACTTAATGTGGTCCACATGGCAAACAAGAACACAACTCTGGATAAATATTCAATCCCAAAGGTATACAATCCACTAGTAACAAATGTGTGTATTTACAAAACAAATTAACCTGATAGAAGACCATAAATAATGAATAAAGAATAATTCTGAGATACTCAAATCGCAGGCTTGATGCTAAAGAACTGTAGCTAATGGGAAGTTCAAATCCTATCATTTAAAGAAATGTTTTTGTTTCAGGGCACCAAGATCTTGGCTACATTGCACTCTGTTCTACACGATGAGTCAATGTGGGAAACTCCACATTCCTTCAACCCTCAACACTTTCTGGATCAGGATGGAAAATTTAGGAAGAGGGAGGCCTTCATTCCCTTTTCTGCAGGTTAGTTATTAGTTACAATCAGAGATGGCAAAAGTACAGACTTTCTTTACTTGGGTAGAAGTAAAGATAATTGTGTTAAAAAATACTTCACTAAAAGTTGAGGTACTGAAGCAACAATTTTCTGTCACGTAAATGATAGAGGGTGATTTTGCCGCCACACCTAAACAGTAATCACAACTCAGTAATTTCTAACACGAGCCTCAGTAGGTTTTCTTAGTGGACAGGCTGTGATCAGCTGACCTGCTGCTCTTTGTGGATGTACACAAGTGAATTTAACAAGATGTCAGCAGTTTCCCGAGCTATCTTGGCCGATGCCTATCAGCTACACAGACACTATACTTTTTATACTATCTTTATACTAGGCCTATACAGTCGGCATGAAGTGGGAATTCAGTGAATGAATCTAAGCATGATCATCTTAAATGCAAATTCATATCTGCTGCACTTGATGTAACCTAAATCTGATCAGGAGCACCACAGCTACTGTGCACCAGTAATTTCACCACATTAATGCAAACTAACCTGTTTATCCTGCACATAACCACCAAGTATTTTCATCAACATTTGAGTAACATAAAGTTAGTATAGCTTAGTTTGTTTTGAAGGACGTTTCACAAAATGAAAAACCATAATTTATCAAAACACATCATACACAATTCCAATATGTGATTAAAATGATGAATGTAAGCTTTGAATTTGCAGTTTAGTAAGTTTTTTAACTAACTGTTTAGTAACAGTTTTTGTGTTGGTTCTTCTGTCACCTGACAAACAGGACATACATGACAATAAGAATAAAATGTGCAGCTGCTTCAGTGTTTCTGTCAATTTGTGCAGATCTTGACTCATCAGTAATGTTTGTAGGTTGAGTGCATTTTTACAAAAATTTGTGCAAACTGCACTACAAGGTGGAATATTTGCAAAATCGCGACTACCTCATGATATTTTGTCTCAAAAAGTAACCCTATGAATATGTCAGTGCCATTAGGATGAAATTATTGTGTCACCAACATTTTGACGTTAGACATATAACTTTAACAGCCTGTGTAAACTAATATCCTGGCTTGCTCGAGGCTGCCGTTTTCTCTGACAGTTTCAATCAAAATTAGAAATGCTACTTGGGAGACTGAGATAACTAATAGTGCTGCCTGTTGTGCAGTTAGTTTCCAAAACACGTTATTCATGGTTACATACAATTTTAGGGACGATCTGATTTCCTCGTGTCAGCGTTGTTCCCACATCATCATAATTAATGTTGTTCCCGGTTCAACATTGCAAGTGACCAATCACCTTCTTGTGACGTCATTCCTTTGCGACTTCGAAATACCCGCCTTCGAGTATTTCGAAATACAAGTGAAGAAGCGAGAAACCGCCGCCTGTCCGCCAAATTTGAAGTCAATTCGCCTGTCCGCCGAATTTGAAGTCAATTTAGGATACTTTTCTTTAATAAACGTTAAGCATTATACATATGTTCCTCACTTGGCTTGCTGTTTGTTTGCTAGTGATAGGCTACTTGACGACAGCATTAGCTAACCAGTGTTCGCTAGACCAGCGTTCCCCAACTTTTTGGGTGTTTCGTGGCCCGGGGGTTGGGTTAGGCAAAATTGCAGTAGCTTCCCTGATCATTTTACAAACATAAGTGAAGAGAATCTGGACTAAAAGGCCTAGACTTATGGTTGTGTGCTGATTCTATGAATCAAACTATCACCTGGAAACATAATTAACTGGTCCATAGCTGTGAAACTGGACATGAGTTCTTGATTCTATGGAGATTAACAGTAATCCAGAAATTTACAAATTTGTCCCTAGGACATCGCGTAAATGTTGTCCCAGGGACATCGCGTAAATGTTGTCCCAGGGACATCGCGTAAATGTTGTCCCTGGGACATCGCGTAAATGTTGCCCCTGGGACATGGCGTAGAAGTTGCCAGAGACATACCATATGAAAGTTTAGCTTCTTTTAGCCCCTGTTTGTTTTATTTATATATATATATATATATATATATATATATATATATATATATATATATATATATATATATATATATATATATATATATTTTTTTTTTTTTTTATATATTATATTTAATATTTACATTGTATTGCAAAAAACCCCAAAACAAGTTAAAATGAATTAATGAATATTGACTAATTAAACCTTCGTTATTTTTCCACCAGAAATGGACGATATAATTAGAAGAAGTGTTCTGAATGACAAAAAAAAAAAAAGAACTGGAAAAGATACACAACTTTGTGTGCATGTGTCACAATGCCAGGAGGACCCATTCAGTGTTGTGTTAGAAAAATTGAACTCATTAACCCTTCATGGACATTATAAATGTTTAAATGTTGCCTCAGGTAAAGACAGGAAAAGAGACTATTACAAATTCAACTGCATCAGAGCTGGGAAAAAAAAGTCGAAACAGCTACAGAGCAGTGGGCTGTAAGGCCTATGTTTCATTTAAAGTACTCAAATGTTGGAAAGACCACACAGTCATCGTGCAGCATACATATGATAAGCATGATGGGCATGATCCTTCGGACCCAAAAGACGCACATTTCAACAATATTTCCAGTGATTTGAGGAGGAAGATTGAGGAACTGCTTTCCCTTGGAACTAAGCCAGCCATCATACTAACCGAATGTCATAAATGGGCCAAAGAACATGGACACAGAGATCTTCACAACAGAGAGCATTTTGTCACACCACGTGACATTGACAGTGTTAGAACCTGCATGATGAGGAAGAAGCACTTTAACTGTGGAGACAGTCAAAGTGTACATACCTTACTTAATGGAAAACATCAAGAACATGTTCTCTTCTATCAACCATACACATCTGACCAAGAACTAATGATTGTTTTACAGACACCTGTAATGAAATCAAACATGGAGAACTATGCAAAACAGTTAGTATTTGTTGACACCACGCACTGCGTTAACCAGTATTCATTTCCCTTATTCACACTTGTTGTAAGAGATGATCATGGGCATGGAGTCCCTGTGGCCTATGCTATTGTCAGCAATGAAAGTCAGAAAACCCTGGAAACTGTTCTTGGAATAGTTTGTGAGCATTTCCCAACTTCCCCGAGGTAAATAATACATTGACAGCTATTCATTTTGAAATAATTCTTTTTCAAAAAAGTTATAACATGCCAGAATCTAATGCTATAGCTGCAGCATGGGCTGCAAAAAACTTTCCTTTCCAGTTGTTAAAGTTATTACTATAGGCTGTATGCAGTATTTTATATATCTACTTGTGAGTTGAAATGTTTAATTTGGCATTGAAGTGGTGCTTTGAGATAGCAAAAACACTTTCATACTGTTTAATCTCATTTAGTGTTTTCTTTTTTTCTGTAGAGCATTTATGGTTGACAAAGACTTTGCGGAAATAAATGCTTTGCAGAAGGTTTTTCCAGAGTCAGCTATCATTCTATGCTGGTACCATGTCTTGCAGGTAAACCACATTGTTTTCTTTTCACGTTGTCTAAGGTGCACCTGAAACACATTTTTACAACAGGGTCCTGTTGTTATGATTTGCCTCATTGTGATATTCACCTACTCAGGTTAATGAATATAAAGGGATAAAATGTTGAGTGACTTTGTCCATTCATTTAAGACCACAGTGCACTCATCTTCTGGTGGCTGCTTCCCAAAGCTCTTTTTGACATTTAAAAATATGTTTGCCTGGTTGATTTCTGTAATGCACAGGTCCTCTTGTCCAGTGAGTGACAAAGTTATTTTTGGAAGTCAGCTTTCTTTTATGCTTTTTGTACAGCTGCTCCTCTGTCTCTCTCCAGATTAACTTTTTTTCTCTTACATTCACAGGCTGTTAATCGATGGCTTTCAAAATCAGAGTCCGGGGTCCATGGGCTTTCTAACACCCAAAAGAGAAATGAAATCATTTCTTTCTTTTGTAAGCTGAAAGCTTGCACATCTGTAAGTGTAATTTGTCTATTTCACATTTTGATTTCTTGATTACACTAAGAGCATAATAACTTTCAGTTGCTAAAAAAAGTTACAGAGAGATACAAAATAGATTTTTGAAACAATTTCTAAAACTGGCTTCTTATCTTGCTTATCAAAACAAGTACTTAAGCTGTGCAGACCATCATTGTGTCACCCACTGTGCAGTAGAACTTGTGAGTGGGATTCTTTCACAGACAGATGCTGAAACCAAATATGCTTATAGGTTTAGTGTTCCTTCTTAGCCATTGTAAGGGAAGAAATAATTGCTTCTTAATACAAAAACACGACATATTATTAATAACTTAAAATTCTTAATGTTATTCAATAAAAGGAAAAGGGCTTCAATACATAATATTAAAGATTTCAATAGGTCTGTTAAATGGATTGAAATATATTCTGTTGCATCCAATTCTCTTAGGAGGACGACTTTAAAGCCACATCAGCAGAGTTCTGCCAGACATTTAAGCAATACCCTTTGGTGTGCCAGTATTTTCAGAAGCACTGGGAAGGCATTGGCCACATGTGGTGTGACGACGGCCGTCACTTCAGTCACGCTCGTTCTGAAACAAACAATGTGATTGAAAGGTATGATTTATTATTTTGACCTCATTCGATTGTATTGCTGAAAAAAAGATATTATGCTTTAATCCAAGAGGCTAAACTGAGTAGGTTCTTCATGTCATTGCCAGAACAGGTTTTAGGCAAATCCTTTAAATTCTAGCAGCGTTTTTTATGTTATCACGACAAAAAACAGAGTAGGTGGATTTGCCTAAATCAGCTAAACCGGCACAGAGCATTCCTTTATAAAAGACGTGTGAAATAGGTATTCCAATTTTTAAAAAAATAATACAGTCTTGGTTAAAACTTTAAATTCCTTCAATTACAGTTACTAATCATTTCAAATAACTGTTTTTCAGATTTTTCCACCGCCTGAAATACCAGTTTTTATCTGGCTACAAGAATAGGCGTCTGGATGATCTGATTGAAGTGCTCCTAGGGAAGGCCGACGACTACTTCTCAGTCATAAAAACCCTGCAAGATGTGGGCCGCATGAAAAACAGGTTTGCTGACACCTTGTCTCAAGTTTCAGACTCTGCTTCAAGACTGATGGAAAGTGGTTGGGCTCTTAAAATTACAGTCAAGAACAGCCATGGAGTTAATGCATATCAAGTCCCATCTGAGTCAAGAGAAGACATAGTGTATGATGTCTGCCCTGTTGAGTCCTACTGCAACTGTACATATGGCTTACGGGGACTTCTTTGCAAGCATCTAGTGTTACTTGCAAAATTAGCAGAGGTTGACAATGACATCTATCCAAACATGGAAACAGACATTTCTACCTTGGCAAGAATTGCAGTGAAAGAAAGGCATTACTTTGTACACTGTGAGGACTTGAAAGTGATAAAAATGCCAAGTTTGTTTGGAAATCTGTGTTTTTTTTGCATCGGCTGAAACACTTCAGTGCACTTGTTGTACGTTCTCTCACTATAACACATGTGCTTGCCTGAAGGTGGCTTGTAGCCATTTTAAACAAATGAAAAACTCTCTGAAAAGTCCTCTATCAACTTTGAATGACACTCCTGTAGTTGAAAGCACAGACAAAAAATGCACAGAAGATGTGGTTGGAAAACTAAATGCTGTTTTAGACACAGTTAAACGGTGGGCATTCATTCCAGAGGGTATTACTGCAATGATAGATGAACTGCATACAAATGTCTTAAAAACAAAACAAGAAGTAGGCAAAAGTATATGCCAGTACGAAATAAAGATGATGCACTCAAAATTAGGCCATTGTATTCTAGCAAGAAACGTTCGGCCAGCATCGACATTCCAACAGTCTGTGAAAATGAATGTGAACAGTCGATAACCACTGAAAGAGAGACATCCTCTGGAAAAAATGAAAACCTTTTGAAATACAAAACAAAAAAGAGAAGAGTGTTATTCATTACTTTGGCTTGGTTGCTGTTTTTGATACAAATTCATCTGTGCCCATTGTAATATTTTCATATGTTACTATTTTTATATTGCTATGCATTATAAATAAAGGATTACTTATTACTATTAAAGGTCTGCATTTGTAATTGTTGGTATTATTTATAAAATATGCGCTCTTAAGTTTTTTGCTCCATAAAACGATACCTGTCACTTTTTGGACATAGAGTATCAGCTGTTGAGAACCCCCGGCTCATACAAAATAGAAGTAAAAGGTTTCAACATCCAGCCTTTTTATGATTAAATACAAAGTGTAATAACAGAGTTATTGGGGTGTGATTTTGTTAATAGTTAGTCTTAAGTATAAGTTTAATAGTAATGATGAGTAAGAAAATATAGCCAGAATAATGGAATGAGACTAACACCTGACCTCACACTGAGATTTGGTATGAAGTGGCATGTTTGTGCTAATGCTGACATTGGGGCTCAGAGTTCCTCTGTGTGTATATATTTGTGAACGTTAACTTGGCTAATGTCCAAGGGTTTGACTGCTTTCCTGTTGGATTGTATCACAAAGAACAGGGATAAGAGCACCAGTGGCCGTGCACACCCTCATCTCTCTCCTTCACCCGATCATTAGTGTTGGAAACCAGCATTAGCTCAGAGTAGATTAGACTTCAGTATAGTGCAAGTGATTTGATTTTATGATTATTTGATTCAGTTTTTTCTGTGTTCAAGCTCAATTACTTTAATAAAATATGTTGAATTCAAACAAATAAATAAACAAATAAACTGTGGACATTACAGTTTGAACAACATAATATCACGTTATTACAATATACATAATTATCACGTTCGTATAATATAATATTTATATTGTACGAACGTGATCCTATATTGTACGAACGTGATAATTGTGTATATTGTAATAACGTGATATTATGTTGTTCAAACGTGAAAAGTATATTGTACAAACAGGAAAAGTATCTTGTTAGAACAATAAACCTTTCACGTTATAACGTGATACACTTTTTTTTTTCTTTGGCCTGGGTGGCAGCTCTACGCTTCCGTAATAAACAGCACTATATCAATTTAATTGTGAAGAGAAATCCCCACAATACAACACAGTTATGTCTAAAATAGTTTTGTGTAAAAACTGGATCTTGAAACGTCCACTTTAATTACACAGTCCTGGTGTGCAAAGGCAAAATTACGAAAAAAGATTTCACTTTAAACATTTTTGGACATTGTTTAGTTATATTGTGACTTACTCTCACAGAAGATACAGATGCCACAAACAGACTTTGAACAACGCATGTGCTTGTATGCACCACATTTCTGGCACTGCACCTGTGAATTAAAAAAAAAAAAAAGAAGAAGAAATAAACAAACAAAAAACAAATGAACAAAGTCCATTATATAAACAATCTATATGGCTAAGGACATGTCATAGTGTACCTGGTCTTTGGCTGCAATCACACACCAGCACTGACTGCACTTCCTAGTTCGATCTGCAAAATATAATTTGTTTAAGTACAAGTTACATTTTCCAATGTTAGAGAAAAAGAAGGCAGCTAATTTTATCTTTACCTATTGAGGAAAATAAGTAGTGGCAAAGTCAGGACCTGAGCTTTGTGATTTCAGTGTTGTACTCCTCCACTTGTGTTTTACCGTCAATGAGAGATTGGGCAAACTAATAATTGACAAAGAAGAAAAAAAAAAAAAAGAACAAAAAGAATTAGATTAACAAAGAAATGTTTGTTTGTTTTTTAACCCCCCCCGAGAAAAAAAAAAACAGAGCAACCAAAGCAAAGCATTACTGCTGAAATGGTTCAATCTACAAAAAAAATTGAGATTTTACCATCCTGCCTCTAAGGCTTTAAAAACTGAATAGGCAACAATGTAAACATTACTTACCGTATATAGGTTAAAGCTATAGTTTTCAGTACCATTATGACATGCACTCCACATGAGTTCCCATCCTGTTGATGTGGGTGGCTCACATGTGACAAGGTCCACTCTCCAGTGCAGCCTCTTGCTGAAGCAAATGAGCTGAGAGATCGCAGTTATTACAAATAAAAAGCATATAGAGAAATCAATAACCACGTTTGGTAATGATTTCAATTAAATTAAATATGTTATGTTAAATATGTTAATTAATTACCTCCAGTTTTTCAACACCGCACTTTTTCTGACCTCCGACTCGCCAAATGAATTCATATAGACTATGGTCCTCTTGGGTATGTCACAAAACTGTTTTGTAAAAAGATGGATATGGTAGGCTTGGGCCTTGAGCTTTCCTAATGAGGGACACTGAAAAGTATCATGCACTAGAGAGAGTGCAAAATCTGTGCAACTTACAAACAAGGTCCAGTGGCTGCCGTTTTCCAGACAGGCTCCAATCAATTTCTCATACATCTGAAAGATGTTTTTCTGGAAATGAAAAGAATGTGACAAGTATGTTTTTCTGTCAAGAATGACACTGCAAAACTGCGAAATCTTGTCAGGTGAGACTTGTAATTAATTCTGCAGATACACAAACATATAGAAAGTGTCATTTTTTGTTTACATTAATTAATTTCTATAGTGTGTACAAAACAAATCAAGACCACAGACTCAACACGCACCACTCAATTTTTGGTGTTCTTTATCAGTTGGCCAAGACAGAAATGTTTTAATCTGTGTGCATTGCTTTTGAGCAAGTCTTTACACAGAAAAGGTTTCAGAAAGGTATTTTTCAGGTTCTTCTGACAAGGCTTCAATTTTGGAAAATGCTGTTTGTTTATAGTGGCAACTTATAAACCCTTTGTGATAAGAACATAGTTACCACAGTCCAAGTCATACCTTCAAAAAGTATGCACTTTGTGCTCTTGTGGACCCATCCAAAATTTTTCCAGTGATTTGGCTTGGTATTGGATAAATGTGAGGGAAATTCTATAAAAATAACATAAATACACCTATGTTTTCAAATACATTACAAAAAACGTAAACATGCTATGTCATTATGATCAAACAAGCTTTTCAACATACCTCACACTGCAAATAGATTAGGCCATCTATTACCTTATAAAACAAATAAATAAATACATATAAATAAAAACAGAACTAAGGAATACGATTCATTAAGTAAATTGTACAATAAAGTGTATTTAAAGCAGAATTTAACATTAGTTTTATGACAACATAAAAGGATTTTTATGTCAAGAGGTACCTCATCTGAAATGTTTGTCTGGTCAAACATGGATTTCAAACTTGAAATACCAATAGTTTGGTCCAGCTACTCCCACAAGGTAATCTGTGAGAAAGCATATGCTGTAGTCAACAGATATCATTTTCTTTTTGCATGCTGCAACCATCATCCATTTCAGTCTTCTAGGAGCTTTGTCTGGTTGTAGTTCTTTTTTCTCCTCCTCTCCCCTCATCTATTAATTAAATTGTTTTCTGACCTTCCTAACTGTTTCCGACCTGTCTTCCCAATGTGATGTTTAAGCAATATATGTATGGTCAGAAGGGGGTGAAATTTTCATTGCAGTTGTACGTGTAACATTGCATGTGATAATAAAAGGCTTGATTGGTTGATTATTCAACATGAGTTGACATTTACCTGACATTGTGAAGGAGTCACAGTTTCTGTAAGGGTGTAAGAACATAACATGTGGATTTGTTACACTTCTTTTTCACAAGTTAATAACAATCAATAATTTTCATTCCATTATTAACAAGCTATCACACGATGTCCCTGGGACAACATTTACGCGATGTACCAGGACAAATTTGTAAATTTCTGGATTACTGTTAATCTCCATAGAATCAAGAACTCATGTCCAGTTTCACAGCTATGGACCAGTTAATTAGGTTTCCAGGTGATAGTTTGATTCAGGGGGTGGCTGTAGCTCAGGTGGCAGAGCAGGTCAGCCACTAATCAGAAGGTTGGTGGTTCGATCACAGGCTGCCTCCTGGCTGCATGCCAAATATCCTTGGGCAAGATATCGGGTTGTTTTTCTTTACTCGAAGAGATCAAATTATTGGTGGGCCATGTTTGCCTACTGGTGGTGGTCAGAGGGCCCGGTGGCGCCTGTGTCCGGCAGCCTCGCCTCTGTCAGTGCGCCCCAGGGCAGCTGTGGCTACAATGTAGCTTGCCATCACCAGTGTGTGAATGTGTGGGTGAATGGGTGAATGACTGAATGTAGTGTAAAGCGCTTTGGGGTCCTATGGACTAGAAAAGCGCTATACAAATGCAGGCCATTTACAAATGCAGGCCATGCCATTCATAGAATCAGCACACAACCATAAGTCTAGGCCTTTTAGTCCAGATTCTCTTCACTTATGTTTGTAAAATGATCAGGGAAGCTACTGCAATTTTGCCTGACCCAACCCCCGGGCCACGAAACACCCAAAAAGTTGGGGAACGCTGGTCTAGAGAACACTGGTTAGCTAATGCTGTCGTCAAGTAGCCTATCACTAGCAAACAAACAGCAAGCCAAGTGAGGAACATATGTATAATGCTTACCGTTTATTAAAGGAAAGTATCCTAAATTGACTTCAAATTCGGCGGACAGGCGGCGGTTTCTCGCTTCTTCACTTGTATTTCGAAATACTCGAAGGCGGGTATTTCGAAGTCGCAAAGGAATGACGTCACAAGAAGGTGATTGGTCACTTGCAATGTTGAACCTGGAACAACATTAATTATGATGATGTGGGAACAACGCTGACACGAGGAAATCAGATCGTCCCAATTTTAGACTGATGTGGGCCAAAGCCTAGCATAGCCTGTAACGTTATTATGACGGACACATTTTATGAGTGAACTTGAATTTAAGTGACTTACAGGTTTCTTTGAAAAATACTTTCTTATATCCAGGTCCTTCCTTTTTGCTGCAAATCTCTCCTCCTTGCAGGCCCTCGCAGCGCAGGCTTGCCGCTGCTAAAACTAAACAGAGCTCCCTGAAAGGCACAGCCAATCACATTGGCCATATTTGTCACATGACGTAGGACTCCAGTAGAGAACGTAATTTAACTCTTTCTGTACCGTTAGGTGAATGAGACGCTGACAGATCGTTTTTTTTTTTTCTTTCTATCGGGTTGTTTTTCTTTACTCGAAGAGATCAAATTATTGGTGGGGACAATTCAATAATCGCTCGATGTTGGTAGGGACACGTCCCTTCCGTCCATGCCAAATCTACGCCCTTGCAGTGGTGTTTAACTGATTGTGTTTGTCCTCTGTTCACTTGTAGCAGGACAGATGAAGAGAAGATATGGAGTTGATATACAATCTTCTCGGCTTGGAGTGGATAGATGGCAAAATTATTTTAATATTTTTGACTGTTTCTCTACTGTTGACAGATTTTCTGAAGAACAGAGTGCCAAAAAACTTTCCTCCTGGACCCTGGGCTCTTCCTTTCATTGGTGACCTTCATCGTATCCAATCTACCAGACTCCACCTGCAGTTAACAGAGGTATGAGTCCATTCCTAAATAAAAAGTTATTATATTATAATAAAATTAAAAAACATTTGAAATTGAAAAAAAAACCCTTCTTTCAACCATACAGATTTCACCTGCAGCTCACTGACTAATAATAAAAGCAGAAAAATAATGTGAAAGGAAACAAACATGTGAAATGAATCACTGGAGTGCAAGGAGGCATAATTTACACCGAAGTAGACAGAGTCGTTATTTAGCTAGCATGAGGCTTGAAGGAACTGTATCATGTTTAAGGATATATATATATATATATATATATATATATATATATATATATATATATATATATATATATATATATATATATATATCTGGATGGGTGCAAACTGCATTTCGTTGCTCTGTACATGTGTATTTGCAATGACAATGAAGTTGAATTCTATTCTATTCTATATTTAGCAAACTTTTTAAATCAAATGTACACCAGTATATCTTGCATTAGAAATGAAACTGAATTAGTCCATTTAAATAAATGGAATAATTGTACATTTACGTCAATGGGCAATAATCTTTAATAGTTTTTTAGTTTCTTTCTTTGAGGTTTGGACTGTTGGTTTAACCAAAAAAAAATTATCATTATCATTTTCTTGCTTGGAAATTGTTATTTACTTTTTATCTTAGTTTTTTGTTTGTTTGTTTGTTTGTTTTTTACTAAAATTCTACTGAGAAGTGAAATGATTGAGAAATACTTTGTATTTGTATTGCATTTGGCTTCCTCCCGTGCCCATGAGGGTAAAGTGAAGGGTTCAATGAAGCTAAGAGGTTCATTGAACCCTTCACTGAACTGGTATTTATTGCTCACAAGTTTAGCTATTTAACTGAATATTAACTTAACGGCCTCATTACAGGTAGGCTAACACCTGATATAGTGACATTTTCATAACTATAGGAACTTGTCTTAATGCCAAAGCTGTTCTGAATTCCCCACTCTGCTGAATGCAGAATAAGGATATTTTATTAATCTCAGAAGAAATTAACTGTGGCCTACTAGCTTACAGCAGTTCTGATATTAAGTAAAAAACAACAAAAACCTTTTCTTATATAAATTGCAAAATATGAATATATATAATATATACTACTCCTACTTTCATCTCCGTAATAATAACCGCCTTCGTCCCTCACTCACTCCACACAGTACCACCATACTTGTCAATGCTCTTGTCACATCTTGTTTAGATTACTGTAATTCTCTTCTCTATGGTCTACCTCATAAATCCCTCCATAAATTGCAGTTAGTTCAAAATACAGCTGCTTGTATTATTTCCAGAACTAGATCCACTGAACATATAACACAGCTCCATTGGCTTCCAATTCACCTCCGTGTCAATTTCAAGATCCTGCTTCTCACTTTCAAAGCGCTTCATAACCTAGCTCCTCCATATCTATCCGATCTTCTCCATACATACTCACCCCCGTACACCCCGCTCTTCTTCAGCTTCCCTTCTGTCAGTTCCACCTGCTCACCTGACTACCATTGGACTCAGAGCCTTTAGTTGTTTTGCCCCAAGACTTTGGAATGCACTTCCACTTGTTCTCCGGACCACACACTGTCTCACCACTTTTAAATCACGTCTCAAAACTCATCTATTTAGAATTGCATACACCTGATCTGTCTTAGTCCATTTTTACCTGCTCAGTTTTTATACTTGCCTTCATACGTTTATGACTGTTTATGTCGAAATTTTATTTTACCATGTTTATTATATATACATATATTTTTTAATGTTTTTTTATGGTATTGTTAACGTGTTATTGTAAGGTGACCTTGATTATTATTATCATTATTATTATTATTATTATTATTATTATTATTATTATATATAGCCTCCTCAGAATGTATCATGCTCCAAAAACAACAATATACTGTCTGTGTTCAGTTTGCAGAGAAATATGGAAACATTTTCAGCCTTCGACTCTTTGGTGGTAGGATTGTGGTCGTTCATGGCTACAAACTTGTGAAAGAAGCCCTGGTTCACCAAGGAGAAGACTTCGTGGATCGCCCAATTATACCCATATTTGAATCAATTATTGGGAATAAAGGTAGTGTTGGCATTTTCCCTCCAAAATTCCAAAAACTTGGTTGAACTGATCACATCAGGTCTAATTTAATTTTTATTTCCAAAAGGTCTTGTGTTGTCAAATGGTTATCCCTGGAAGCAACAGACGAGATTTGTTCTTCACACATTCAGGAACTTTGGTCTGGAGAATAAGACCCTGGAGTCATCCATCCAGCAGGAGTGCCAGTATCTCACAGAGGCTTTCACAGATCAGCAAGGCACAAAGAAAAAAAAACAATATAGTTACATGTTATCTATGTTTAGTATGTGTGTTTATAAAATTTAAATATAATTCACCATTGCTGACATGTTTATAAGGTTCACAGTACTAAAGCACATGGCCTAAAAAGTTTCTTTAATAATTGTCCCACTTTTCTTTACCTGTAGCTCATCACCTGATTTATGCTTTAACAAGGAGTTCTAATCAGAGGCCAAACATTAAAAACAGCACCCACTCTGTTTCTCCACTTGTTGACATGCATTATATCCTGTTCATTTGATTTTAGTTTCATTGATATAGCTCCAATTCTTTGTTAAGATTCACAATTATTTGCTGAAATGTTCTGAAACACTCGGGACATTTCCCTAATCCTTTACACCAAAGTCTATTTGACACCCTTGGGTAAGAGTTGGAGGTGCATTTCACTTGCAATTTTCAAGGTCCCCTTTGTTCCCAACTATGTATTTGAATTTTAATTTAATTAATTAATTTTTTTAATTTTATGGATGTTTTTTCTCCTCATTTTGCAGGCAGACCCTTTAATGCTAAGAACCTGATTAATAATGCAGTCTCAAACATCATCTGCTGTTTGGTGTTCGGCAATCGATTTGAGTACACTGACAAGCAATTCCAGTATATTCTCCAGACAATGAATGACGTTGTTCAATTACATGGAAATTTGACAGTACGGGTGAGTGCATGTTATTCACACATTCATGTACTTCTAGTTACAGTCTCAGGCTTGGATGTAAATGTGTGCTTAATCAATTTTCATATCTATCTGCTGTGATGTCCACTTGGCGGTTTTTCACCACTGTGCATTACAAGTGAAATACACTCCAGAAAGGATTATTTACTGAATGTGGATCTACAACACAGCAGTATCAGATTTACCCATCGCCTGTAAAAGCCAAACAGAACCAATTCACCCATTCATTTTCTAACATTTCCTGGTTAGATACAGTAAGGGCAACAGTTTAAGCAGAGCTGCTTGTTGCTATTATAAAACCAATCACACCGTGATGATGAGTGTAAATCCTAATGAATGAAGCCTTAGCTTGACACCCCTGACTTCTAGCCTTATTAATTCATACTTCCACACAAACAGCTCAAAAATATGGAGCGCCAGGACTGCCATAATGAATTAATTAAATACACCATTAAATAATTAATTAAATGTGGCAATAATTAATTAAAATTGGAATTAATTAATTAAATAAATAGTTATGACACATGTAATTAATTAATTATTGACACATTTAATTAATTATTTATGTATTTCACATTTTAATTAATTATTGACACATTTAATTAATTAGGGGACATGGGAGAAAAAAAATTAAGACGGACTTTTGCGAGATCTCGCAAAACATTTGCAAGATCTCACAAAACTAACTCGGGATCTCTCAAAACTTTCTCGCGAAAGTTGAATTCCAACAATGGCGGCAGCTACTTAGTTGTAATATTACTCTTTCTGGGTCACAAAATACACTTTTAAGATATTTTGAGGCGTGAATGTAGTTGTGTAAATGTCAGATACCTGCTCGGTTTACAAGACATCACATATTTGCAAAAGTGCTCCGACATTTTTGGAGATCTGACACCCACTAGCTCGAAGCTAACGAGAGGTCTAGACCTACTACAGCCGGGAGGAACACCGCTTTCCCGGCACATCGTGCCTCGACCTCCCAGTCGGCTTCGAGCTGGCAGCCTCCGAAGAATGCGGCTAAAACTTTTGCGAGATCTCGCAATACTTTTACGAGATCCCGAGTTTGTTTTGCGAGATCTCGCAAAAGTCCGTCTTAATTTTTTTTTCTCCCATGTCCCCTGCGGGGCTCCGTAATTATTGACACATTTAATTAATTATTTAATGATATATTTATTTATTTCATTTTGGCAGTCCTGGCGCCTATGGAACGCCAGGACTGCCATAATGAATTAATTAAATGCACCATTAAATAATTAATTAAATGTGTCAATAATTAATTAAAATTGGAATTAATTAATTAAATAAATAGTTATGACACATGTAATTAATTAATTATTGACACATTTAATTAATTATTTAATGATATATTTATTTATTTCATTTTGGCAGTCCTGGCGCCTGGCTCTCATCTTTTTTTTTTTTTTTTTGTCCCGTTTGGATCTATAGCCATCAGAATTGTTGTCTTGAGGCCAAGAAAGATGCCAAGCGGATTTATTTTACCAAGTGGATCATCATGGCCTTGCCATATTGGTCCATTTGATTGACCTTTATTATAATTATGAATTTATTTTATTTTCAGTTGCAAACGGGACAGACATAACTGTGGGATAGGACAGGGGGAAAGAATGAAAGAAAACCAAAGGGGAGAAGAGACGGTGAGAAGGGGGGGAAGAGAGAAAAAAAACAAAAAAAACAAAAAAAACCTCCTGGGTCACCTGTATGGAGAAAAAAAACCCAGAGGAGACAGCAAACAACAAAGAGCAACATAATAATAGAAAAAAAAAGCACCATCACAATAAACTAGCTAGCCATAGATATCAATAGTTACTAAATAATAAACGATATTGTGCAACACTCAAGATAGACAATGCACAGTGTGCTTTGAGGCAGCAGCCAAGAAAGCTGTAGTCCGCGTCTGTGAATATCCATGTGTACACCTGTGTGCATACCTGTGTGGATCAGCATGCTTGCATTCCAAAGGTTTCTCCATGTAAAGATCTGCTAGGGAGTGTGGGGAGCCACAGCCCTGTCCTTTATGGTATCAAGCAGGTATGGAGGAGATCAAAACTCCAGACATCCAGAGGCCCCCAGAACACAAGAGACCAAGGAAGACCCACAGAGGGGCAGCTGCGCCACTGTCCCAGTAAGAGCTAAGAGCCTGGCTCTCATCTTGAAATAATTTTATCTGTCAGCCTCACCCATCAAACTCAGGGGGCGGGGTTAACGCTGATCGAGTCAAAACCATTGCTTTGGCCTGGTGGCCATTGTTTCTAGCACACAACAACCGGCATGTGGAAGCTAACAGAACTGAACTTTGAAAAACCCTGTTTGTTTGTCACCAAATACCGTTTTAATATTTTTTTAGCCGAGAATGTAGTGGTTTAATCTTCATGTGTCTGGTCGGTTTGTCAAGATAAAGCCTCTTTGCAAAAGTGCTTCGATGATTTCGGAGATGTCTGGCCAGTCTCACGGCAAAGCGTGGGATAGACCCGCTCGCCTCGCAAGCAATCCCACCGACAAAGCGCAGGCCCCGGTACACAGCTGTAGTAACCCCCGCTGACTTCTTTTACTGAGGTTATATTTATCGGTGTTTTATTTCCTGATGTTCTTATGTGTCCTACGTGTTTCAGTCGCCAATTCTGAATTATAACTAACATTAAAAACATGTTTAAGGAGGAGAGAGAGCAAATAAATCTGTTTAACATCTGATCTTTGGGTTTTTGTTCAGTAATCAGCGTGACCTGTGTATAAATGCTTAAAAGAGATAACGTTGGTGTTTCTGTCATGTAGTAACTGCTGGCTTTAACTGTACAAAGGTTGTTCGACACTATGAAACACATACAGACTTCATGATGTTCGGCTAATATTTTTATTGTGAATATTAATCATGAGGGTAAACGGCCCTGTACACCACGGAGCGAGGTCAGCATATCCACGATATCCTCAGCTCCATGAGTTAGCACAGAGTTTCTCAGCTGACTATCTAACTGCCAACTATTCCAGAGACGTGAAAATATACAGCATAAAGAAAAGTGTAAGAGACTCAGCAGCAGATTAGAATAACAATTATACATTTAATAAATCACCAAATGAATCCAAGAAACGAGCAAACCTGTTCCGACAATTTGAGTTTGTATTCCTTCAGCTGCAGACTCGCTGCTGCTTAAATGTTTCAAAAGGAAGATTAGATATAAACAAACGTCAAACATAGACTCAGTCTGCCTTCACATTTGATATGAGGCCAGCACGTATAGTGGCTGTGTCCTGTTTTAAGATCATACGTGTAAAATTGTTGTCTGACTTCCGTCGATCCAGCCGCTCAGAGTCCGTGGTTACCATGGTTACTGCATAAGCAGCTATAATGTTAACAGCTGGCACTGAGGAAACCTACCGGCAGCATGGGTGTTTATGTTTTTCATTGCAAAAGAACTGTCTGAATGGTTAAGTTAACTTGGATAAATTATAGTTAAGGAGTATCACAGATAACGCCCACGTGAGCTGTGTGACTGTTCACCACTACACTGAAATCAGTAGGCTATTACTGAAATACATGTGCTATATCATAAACTGTGATATAAATAGGGAGGTCCTATTAACATGTTAAGTTTTAAAGGACACCTTCCTGCCTTTAGTCTCCTTCATGAGCAGTATTAGTTTTCTTCTAACATCCAGAAGTCTGCACGATGCGTTTCATAGTTTGTAACAAGCCTTTGACAGGTAAACATAACATGACCGAAAAAGCAGAAGAAAAAAAAAAAGAGAGAGAGAGAGTGTTGACATATAAAGAGAAAATGATCTCAATTATGGAGACAGGCAAATGGTTCATTTATGTTTGATGTGTGTTTATTCCTCCCTAAATATCATCGGTGAAGTTTGCCATGCACGTCAGATTTTCCTGCGCATTTTTATACCTCTGCCAACAGAGAGAGAGAAAAAATCACATTCTAACAGACAGCTGGTGCTTAGAATACAGTTGAATAACTATTAAAAAACAGATGATATTTAGATGATAGTTCAGTCTAACACATGTGCCAGTGAACCATTAAACGTCTGTGAAACTATGCAGTTATGAAACGTAACTTTAACCTCAGCCAAACCCATTTGCTCAGTTGTAAATAAAACAGCGAAGTAAACGTGACCCGACAGACAGAACCTGAGTGAATGAAGTCCAGCGTTTAACCACTGAGAGCTAAAACTCAGCTGAGGTTTCAAAGCTGTGTGCCGGTGATTGGACATCAGCCGCTGATGAAGCTGGTTCGCCTATAAAGTGCTCTGTAAGGAAACAAGCTCCAGCAGCTCTGCGCTCGGGGAAAACACTATATTTACTTATCTTGTGCAGAAAAATGCGCTGACATTGCTTTATATCGAGCACCGGCTGCCCAGTTAAACTGTGACTATCACCAGGTAACGTAGGCGTGTTTCTTGAATTAGCAGCAGGTGTTAAACAGCTGACAGGTGAGGAGGAGGATGCATGCAGGTAAACTGAGGGTCTGTTGAGCTGATCGCTGGTTTCGTGAGAAAAATGTCAGCTCGTTCTTTATGTTACAGAAGCACAGAGACACAAGACCAGGCGGAAAGAGACGATCGTTCGGTGAAAATGAGAATCTGCGAATGCAACATGTGGAACACGGAGAGTGGAATATGTAAACAAACCGGTTAACGTAACCCCCTGGGTGCACTCTGCATGCTAATTGTTAGCAGAGCTAGTGAAATCTCTGAAAACATCTGAGCACTTTTGAAAACATGTTCTATGTTGACAACCTGACCAGACATATGGCGCGACATTCGCGGCTAAAACACTGTTAAAAGTGTAGCAGATAAAATTATTTCAAGATGAGAGCCAGGCGCCAGGACTGCCAAAATGAAAAAAATAAATATATCATTAAATAATTAATTAAATGTGTAAATAATTAATTAAATGTGTCAATAATTAATTAAAATGTGAAATACATAAATAATTAATTAAATGTGTCATAACTATTTATTTAATTAATTAATTCCAATTTTAATTAATTATTGCCACATTTAATTAAATATTTAATGCTGTATTTAATTAATTCATTGTGGCAGTCCTGGCGCTCCATACAAAAAGACTTTTTAATAAACTTCATTGAGCCTTTTTTACTTTGACACCGAGCTGTTTACAAACATTGTGGCAGTGATATGTTTCACACTAAAACGTTTGAACCATTTTAAAAATGAAGAGAGACGGACAGGTCACAAAGCTGTGTGACTTCACTCTTAACTAAATTGCCCTTTTGTTTTCTTTGTTTTGTTTTGTTTTGGTGCATGCCCAACTTGTGCCCTGTATAGAGGTGCCATCCAATAATAAACACACTTAATATGAAAACAAACAAATGACCTACCTAATTACCTATACATAAACTAATTCAACTAAATAATTATCCCACCTTTAAGTTATTACATTAATATGGTGGCCCTGAGAGGCCAAACGGACTGCAACTTAAGAAAACACCAGCAATAACAAAAAGGCTGCAAAAGCAAACAAAGCACAACGGAAACAGGAAAAAGGAAAACACAAATAGGAAAAATGAAAACTGATTTCCAAAAGCACAAGAGAAGTTGATCTGGGGAGACAATAACCCGATGGACCAGTTGCAGGAACCAAAATATGCTAAGAATTGCGTTGGGAGACGCTTAAAAAAAGTTATTTTAAAAAAAGCATTTAAGCTCTTATAAAGAGAGTAGACCAGAAGTCCAATAACAAAATGCCACTCGGGTTCATACTGGGAGGGCCGTTCTTGCAATGATACAGCTGCAGGTTTCAAACCTAAAATTCATGAACACACAGTAATAATGATCTTTATTATTGCTTATGTTAATACGGCCAGTCAATTAGATAATCTGGTTACTGTCTTCCTGCTCTGCAGATGTACAATACAATACCCTGGCTGATGAAGTGGCTGCCTGGATCACACCAGACGATATTTATCTTGACAAAGAAATTAGTTGAATTTGTAGAAACTAGGATCAAAGAACACCAGGAAAACTTTGACCCTTCATCACCAAGAGACTACATTGACTCCTTTCTCAAAGAAATGGGAGAGGTTAGTGTTTTAATGTCTATCTCGATTTGCTTTAATGAAAAAAATTTATTCCCCTCTCGCCTCTGCAAGTAGTCTATCCTTCAAGCTCAGGTCCTCTACCAGAGGGCTGGGAGCTTAAGGGTTCTAACTCTAACTCTTCTGGACAGAGGGATCTGCTGGAGCCATTCACCTAACTTGGGAGTCACTGCACCTAGTGCTCCGATTACCACTGGGACCACTGTTACCTTCACTCTCCACCTTCTTCAGCTCTTCTCTGAGCCCCTGGCACTTCTCCAGTATTTCGTGTTCATTCTTTGAGATGTTACTGTCATTCCGTATTGGTACGTTTATCAGTACGTCTTCTGCTACATCTTCTCCTGCTTGTCTACAACTACTATGTCTGGTTGGTTAACCATCACCATTTTGTCTGTATGTATCTGGAAGTCCCACAGGTTCTTAGCTCCGTCATTCTCAACCACCCTAGGGGGTGGTCTGTCCTCAGTGTCTGCAATGTTTCCTTCTGGTAGTGTGATCCCCTCCGTTCTGACAGCCTTACCTCTCTGAGAGGATTTAGGTCTATGCAGAACATCAGTGGGGACAGTGCATCTCCTTGGTAGATCCTGTTGGTCTCTAGTGTTGTTCGCCACATCCCCGTTGAGTTCCTGATGAAGGCTCTTAGGGTCCTGTTGATCTTGCACTGTTACGGTGCACTCGGTGCAGTGACCCCGGAGCAAAGCAAGTGGCTCCGGCAGATACCAGGAACAACATCCAAGATCTCTGCACCTTCATGGGGGCGAGAGGGGAATTTAAAAATTTTTATTCTTTACTTTACAAAACGTTTTGATAAGATGGTTTGTATTTATATTGTGTACATAATCAAATATAACAATTTTCTCTTGTATCATTGATAGAAGGAAGATAAAGATTCTGGGTTTTATCTCGAAAATTTGATGGCTTGCACAATGGACCTGTTTGGTGCTGGAACTGAAACCACAACTACTACTTTAAATTGGGGACTTTTATATATGATCCACTACCCTGATATACAAGGTGTGTCAGGGTAATATCTATCAGGGATAAATATTTGTGAGCTTAGTCAACTGTGCACAACACTTATTTTCCTGTTTTCTGTGTGTGCAGAGAAAGTCCAAGCTGAGATAGATGCTGTGGTTGGTTCATCCAGACAGCCGTCTACAAGTGACAGAGAAAACATGCCATTCACTGATGCAGTTATTCATGAAATCCAGAGAAGTGGAAATATTGCCCCACTTAACATACTTCGCGTGGCAAACAAGAACACAGCTCTGGATAAGTACTCAATCCCAAAGGTACACAATCAACCAGTAACAAATGTTTGCCAGTTAAAAAGAAAAACTCTGAGATAATCAGATGTGTCAAAGGTACATACTAATAATGGATTGCATTTATATAGCGCTTTTCTAGACACTCAAAGCACTTTACAATTCCACTATTATCCACCTTTCCCTCATCCACCTGCTGGGCTCAGTGGAAGCTCCACCATAGCCACCACCAAACAACTGAGTTATTTTTACATTTTACACATCGGCCAGCTTCTGGCCAGTCCACAGGTTTGTAGCTTGAACCTATTCGCTGGAACGTTGAGGACAATATAATTACACAGCAAGCAAGACACGAAGTAGGCAAAGTTCTTCTTGTTACTCATGCATGAGGGAGACCTGAATGGAGCCAAGTGTCGTCCCACCACTTGACCTCCGTCAGACTCTCAGCCAGGTTCCCCATAGCACTCCTTTTATTGTGGTTACATGAATATGCATAGGGTCATTAACATATAACATCTTACATAGGTATACATGTGAACAAAGAATTGTGTGTGTGTGTGTGTGTGTGTGTGTGTGTGTGTGTGTGTGTGTGTGTGTGTGTGTGTGTGTGTGTGTGTGAGGTCAAGATGTGACCCTGTGAAGACTCCCCAAAGCTGGTGCCAGGAGTCTAGCGGGTCCATCTGAACAAAAGGCTCTTATACTTAAAGAGATGTACGTGTGTTTGCTATACCATATATCAACAAAGAGAAGATAGGACCTCTCTTATGTTCCTAGGATGTGGGTGTGCATTCACACCAAGCCTTTGTAGCCTGCTAAAGATTACACATCCTATCACTACACAATTGATTATACACCTCTAAGTGTATATGGTTAAATATTTCTAAGCATAAATGACAATCAACAATACAAAACCTAACATCCACCACCTTTCGTTGTTTATACTGTTACAAAAAAACCGAATCAACAAACACACACAAAAAAGCCCATAAAAACAAAAACACCCCATTGGCCCACCGGGCAGATGCCTGCTATGCATGATCTGATGGCCAGTCCAGCTATGGCTCCAGGAGGTTTTTAGCGTACATGATGTGATCAGCTGACCTGCTCTTCTCTGTAGATTTACATAATTACACAACAAGTGTAGATGTGTTTTTTCATCCATCCTGGCAGATGTCTATCCCCCTACACTTTATACAGAGTTGCTATAAAGTTTAAATTCAGTGAAGTAATCTAAGCATGATCATCTAAAATGCAAAGTCGCTGCTACACTTGATGTAACCTAAATCAGACCAGGAGCACCACAGCTACTGTGCACCAGTCCAACACAGTGCTTTACTGTAAATTCAGCCCTGTAATGCAAACTAACCTGTTTATCCTGGAAAAAAACTACCCAGTATTTCCATGCAACATTTGAATAGCACAAAGTTAATATAGGTTAGTTTGTTTTGCAGGACATTTTACGACAATGAAAATACATAACTTATCAAAACACATCATACACAGTTCAGAATCAGAATCAGAATCGTGTTTATTGGCCAAGTGTATGTGCAGACACATACAGGGAATTTGGTTCCGGTAGATGGTGGCTCTCAAGCACAGTAATGTAAATCACACACACACACACACACACACACACACACACACACACACACACACACACACACACACACACACACACACACACGTGTCTATATATACACATTACACATACATACACAAAGCTGTGTAAACCAACTATAAATAACGAATCTAAACTTATATACATAAAATACAGAAATGAATGAGGTGGAATGAATACTACAAAATGTACATAAGGTGCAGCTGCAGTCTGGCAGTGGGAGCAGTGTGACAGGTCAACTGTTAAGAAGGGAGATGGCGAGGGGAAAGAAACTGTTCCTGTGTCGGGTGGTCCTGGTCTGCAGGCTTCTGTACCGTCTGCCAGAGGGCAGCAGATCAAAAAGTCTGTGTCCAGGGTGTGAGGGGTCTGTGATGATTTTCCCTGCCCGTTTCCTGGTTCTTGAGAGGTACAGATCCTGGATGGAGGGCAGGGGGGTGCCGATGATCCTTTCTGCTGCCTGTACAGTCCGCTGCAGTCTGCTCCTGTCCTGTTTAGTGGCTGCTCCATACCAGACTGTGATGGAGGAGCACAGGACAGACTCAATGACCGCAGTGTAGAACTGGATCAGCAGCTCCTGTGGAAGACTGTACTTCCCCAGTTGTCTCAGGAAGTACATCCTCTGCTGGGTCTTTTTGAGGATGGAGTTGATGTTGGTCTCCCACTTCAGGTCCTGGAAGATGGTTGTACCCAGGAACTTGAAGGTCTTCACAGTTGACACAGGGCTGTCTGGTATGGTGAGGGGGAGCAGAGTTGAGGGATGTCTCCTGAAGTCCACTGTCATCTCTACAGTCTTAAGAGTGTTCAGCTCCAGATTGTGCTGACTGCACCAGAGTACCAGCCGCTCAACTTCCTGCCGGTATGCAGACTCATCACCATCTTGAATGAGGCCAATGACAGTGGTGTCATCTGCAAACTTTAGGAGTTTGACAGCCGAGTTCTTGGAGGTGCAGTCGTTAGTGTAGAGGGAGAACAGTAGTGGTGAGAGGACACATCCTTGAGGGGCACCAATACTGAGGGACCAGGTTTCAGAGGTGATCTCCCCCAGCCTCACTTGTTGCTTTCTGTCTGTCAGGAAGCTGGTGATCCACTGACAGGTAGCTGGTGACACACTGAGCTGGGAGAGTTTGGAGGAAAGAAGTTCAGGCACAATGGTGTTAAAAGCCGAACTAAAGTCCACAAACAGGACCCTGGCATAAGTTCCTGGGCGGTCAAGATGTTGTAGGATGTAATGCAGCCCCATGTTCACTGCATCATCCACCGACCTGTTTGCCCGGTAGGCAAACTGCATAGGGTCCAGCTGGTGGCCTGTAATGTCTTTCAGATGGGCTAACACCAGTCGTTCGAAGGATTTCATGACCACAGACGTTAAGGCGACAGGTCTGTAGTCATTCAGTCCTGTGATGGTGGGTTTCTTGGGAACAGGGATGATGGTGGAGCGTTTGAAGCAGGAGGGAACTTCACACAGCTCCAGGGATCTGTTGAAGATGCGAGTAAAGATGGGAGCCAGCTGTTCAGCACAGGTTTTGAGGCAGGAGGGTGAGACGCTGTCTGGTCCGGGGGCTTTCCTGGGCTTCTGTTTCTGGAATAGTCGGCTCACATCCTGAGTGTGTATTCTGAGTTTCAGGGAGGAGGAAAGAGGGTTGAGAGGTGTGGTGGAGGTCGTTGAGTCTGGATTGGAGAGGGCGGTGGTGGTCGTTGAGTCTGGATTGGGGAGGGTGGGGGTGGTCGTTGAGTCTTGATTGGGGAGGGTGGGGGTGGTCGTTGAGGCTGGATTGGGGAGGGGGAGGGTGAAGGGGGGAGAGGTGGAAGGTGTGTTGGGGTCAATATCTGAAGCAATGTCCCTGGGGAGGGGAGGGTGGGGCATGGGAGTCTGTCCGTCTCAAACCTGCAATAGAAAGTGTTTAACTCGTTGGCCAGGTCTTTGTTTGCTTCAATAGTGGGTGGGGGGCGTCTGTAGCTGGTGATTTCCTGCAGGCCCCTCCACACTGACGCAGGGTCGTTGGCTGAGAGCCGTTCTTCCAGCTTCTGGGAGTAGATGCTTTTAGCTGCTTTGATCTCCTTGGTCAGTGTGTTCCTGGCTTGCTTGTACAGGGCCCTGTCACCACTTCTGTAGGCGTCCTCCTTTGCCTTACAAAGATGTTGGAGTTAAGGAGTGAGTTTATTGTTGTTGTATGTGCAAAAGGTCTTTGTTGGCACACACACGTCTTCACAGAAACTGATGCATGATGTCACAGGGTCCGTGAGCTCATCAAGGTTCTCAGATGCAGCTTCAAAAACAGTCCAATCAGTGGAGTCAAAACAGTCCTGCAGTTCCTGCTTTGCTGCGTTAGTCCACTTCTTCACAGTTTTGACTACAGGCTTGGCACGTTTGAGTTTTTACCTATAAACTGGAATAAGATGGACCATGCAGTGATCAGAGTGTCCCAAAGCTGCCCGGGGCACAGAGCGATAGGCATCTTTTAGAGTGGTGTAGCAGTGATCCAGTATGATGTTGTCCCTGGTGGGGCAGTCTATATGCTGTCTGTATTTAGGGAGTTCGTAGGTTAGGTTTGCTCTGTTCCAACATGTGGTTAAAATAATGACATTGCATGTAAGCTTTAAATTTTTTGTTTAAGAGTCACTGTGCAGTCTTCAGCTTTAAATCTAACCTCTATTCTTCCTCTCCTGTCGAGTTTGTCTTCCCAAATCTTTATCTCCCAGTGAAGTTAGCTCTCATTCTCTTCTCTCCCTGTGAAATCCATCAACTTGACCTTTAGCTATGAACGCACTGTGCGACAAAGTGCACACAAACAGCTTGTGTGTTTTCTGATGTTTGCTGAACTAATAGAAACTGTCTGTGAAGGTTTTTTCTCATCCGAGGTGAAACGTCTTCCAGGAAACTTAAAGAAGTCCAGACACTTTTCTTTTCAGGCTACTTAGACTGATAGAAACATTGATTTTTAAATTGCATGCCACTTAAAAAACACTCGCTTCATGCATCCTCCTTATCTGTAGCACTAGCTAGATGCTGAAGTACCGCCAACACAACATACAGACACCTGCCTTATTAAAGTTCCGGCCAACTTTAACCCCTGAGTATAAACGTTATAAATGATAACACTGAACGTAAAGTAATGAGCATTTTCTGAACACGTAAGGAGTAGAAAGTACAGATATTTGTTTAAAAATGTAGGGAGTAAAGTACAAAGTTGTCAGAAGAATAAATTTTCAAATACAGATACCTGAAAACTGGACCAGGTGACCCTGAATCCTCCCTTAGTTATGTTGCAATAGACGTAGGCATGGGGGATTCCCATGATGCATTGAGTTTTTCCTTTCCAGTCTCTTTTCTCACTCACTATGTGTTAATAGACCTCTCTGCATTGAATCAAACATGTTATTAACCTCTGTCTGTCTTCCACAGCATGTCTTTATCCTGTTTTCCTTCTCTTACCCCAACCAGTCGCAGCAGATGGCCCCGCCCCTCCCTGAGCCTGGTTCTGCCGCAGGTTTCTTCCTGTTAAAAGGGAGTTTTTCCTTCCCACTGTCGCCAAAGTGCTTGCTCATAGGGGGTCATATGATTGTTGGGTTTTCTCTGTATCTATTATTGTACGATCTACTGTTCAATAAAACGCGCCTTGAGGCGACCGTTGTTGTGATTTAGCGCTATATAAATAAAATAGAATAGGATAGAATAGAATAGAATACAATTGAAAATTCTAGTTACAGTAATAAAGTTACTTTGTTACTTCCCACCTCTGGAAACAGAGCAAAGAACAGTTAAAACTCAAATATTCAGATACTCAAATACCAAGTGTTGATGCTAAAGAACTGTAGCCAATGGGAAGTTCAAATCCTGCAATTTGAACAAATGGTATTTTTCAGGGCACCAAGATCTTGGCTCCATTGCACTCTGTTCTACATGATGAGTCTATGTGGGAAACTCCACATTCCTTCAACCCTCAACACTTTCTGGACCAGGATGGAAAATTTAGGAAGAGGGAGGCCTTCATTCCCTTTTCTGCAGGTTAGTCATCAGTTGCAATCCTTTAAAACTCTGGTAAATGCTGTTTTAGGCAGAAGTTAAAAAAATGCTACATGTTGCTGCTTATGGTCAACTTTTTGTATATGTAATATTTTATTTTGATTATTTGTAGCATAATCATATTTACACTACTCAATACAGTGATAAAGTGGTGAAGTAGATACAGATTAGCAGATACTCTGCTGCTTGTTCCTTGCATTAAATTGTGTGCTTTTAAATGTTCTTGTGCTTTATTTGTTGATCTAAATGAATACATAGCTGTTATAAGCTGTGATTAGCGTGGAAACCCAGTAAATTATGTATTTCAAACATGTAGTCTTGTGTATTCTCAGGTAAACGTGTGTGTCTTGGGGAGCAGCTGGCCAGGATGGAGTTATTCCTGTTTTTCACCTCCCTGCTGCAGAGGTTTTCATTGTCTGCACCTGCTGGAGAGAAACTCAGTCTGGACTTCATTTTGGGTTTCACACGCGGTCCCAAACCTTATCGTCTGTGTGCTGTGCCACGTTAGAGCACGAGTTATCCTCAGCTGAGCATGTCTGTTTCTCTGTGCTCTCAATGACTGTCTTCTGCTATTGTTTTTGATGCAATGCATAAAGAATATCTGCTTTACTGTTCTCTCTGTCTATCTCTAGCGCTCTAGTGTAAGTAATTAATAAGTAATATATATTTTAAATTGAAATTGAACGTATTTTAATTTTGCACGATTTTTCTGAATAAATATGGACTCACAAATAAAATAATCCTGATGCAATAAAATCCACAGACCATTACAACCTCTCAAGGGAATCACCAAAACGTCGTACTTATGATATTTTCTCTGCACATTGGATTTGTTGAACCTGTAAATAATTTATTTAGAGATTATTACACACATAAAATACTTTTTTAAAATGATCACTTACCAAAAGAATGAAAATCTGAAAATAATAGCAGAAAACCAGCAAATCTTCACACAAGTCCATCTTTGAGATGATGGACTTTTGAAATTCTCTTCTTTTAGTGGACTTCTTCTTAATTTTTTTAATGGTTCTCCGTGAGAGAAGTTAAACAGGTGAGATGCCTTCCTCACCTGCATAACTAGTGGTCAGTGCACCATATTGTCCTTCCTTGTCTATGGAGATTCAGTACAGCATCTTGTAACTATTTTTTCTTACTGATACTTTGTTTATGCTTTTGTTGTTGAATCTCACGTGTAAAGGAGATTTCAATCTCAATAAATTACTTCATAAAAATACCCATTTGCTATTAGAAAAGGATACTTTTTTTAAACGAACTGCCTTTGCATTCAGTTATGTGAAAAAGATACTGGGACCTGGTATGTCAACAGCACCGCCTACAACTGCAAAGCTCTCCAGCGAGTAGTGCGGTGCTCTGAACGGATAATTGGAGGTGAGCTTCCCTCCGTCCAAGACATCTACAGGAAGCGCTGCCTGAGGAAAGCGGGGAGGATCATCAAGGACTCCAGTCACCCCAGCCATAAACTGTTCAGACTGCTTCCATCAGGAAGGAGGTTCTGCAGCATCCGGTCCCGTACCAGCAGACTGAGAGACAGCTTCTTCCATCAGGCCATCAGACTGCTGAACACTTCATAGACACCTCAGCTTCACTACTGGAACTTAAACATTATGCACTACACACTGTACAGTAATGCCACTGTTTTGCACATGTCTCAACTCTGTATATTTTTATATATTTTATTTTTTACTATTTAATTTGTAAAAATGTGTATACACACACACACATACACACACACACGTAGAAAAACATTTAGTATACACATCCAGAAATGCATACACTATTATATATTGTACATATATTTATTAGTTTCAGGTTGGCAATTCTCGTATTTTGCTCGTTTGTGTTGTTGTGTTTTGCACATCTCTGTTGCTTGTGGGGCTCGCACACAAGAATTTCACTCGCATGTACTGTGCCAGTGTGCCTGCACATGTGATGTGACAATAAAAGTGATTTGATTTGATTTGAAAAGAAACGATTCACAGGACACTGCAGTACTTTAAAAAACAAAAACTATCTTTAGCAACAGTAACTTTAAATATTTTCGTTCTGTATGACTTGTCTCTCACATAGTTGTAGAGAAATGTTGGCCCACTTTTAATAACTCTTTGTCATCTTCCATCCCAGACAGTAAGCAGAAAGAAGCAAATCATCATGTCCCACTAGCTACAAGTGCTATGTTGATAATATAATAGAATAGCATAGCATAGAATAGAATAGATCTATGTACAATGAGATTGAAAGAAACTTCTGCCCAGTGGAAACATGTAAAGAACAAAAAGGAAAAGGTAAAAGTGCACAGTTCTCCGGTGCTAAGTACATACTCAAGAATAAATATGGATTTTATATATACAGTAATATATAACATTGCACATGTTACATATTGCAAAGTGATTAGGATTATGACTGGATTCAACTTTATTGTCATTACACAGCTATGAATACAGGGTAACGAAATACAGTTTGCATCTAATAAGAAGTGCAAGAGTAGTAAGTGCAATAAGAGCAGATTACATACAGATAAGTTAAGCAAATATACAGATGTACTACAGGCAGATGTACGGATATACTAATATATACAGATAAGGGTACTACAGTGGCTTGCAAAGGTATTCACCCCCCTTGAACTTTTCCACATTTTGTCACATTACAGCCACAAACATGAATCAATTTTATTGGAATTCCACGTGAAAGACCAATACAAAGTGGTGTACACCTTATCCCTGACCTGTCTGGTGTGTTCTCTGGACTTCATGGTGTTGTTTCTCCCAATATTCTCTTAGACAACCTCTGAGGCCGTCACAGAGCAGCTGTATTTGTACTGACATTAGATTACACACAGGTGCACTCTGTTTAGTCATTAGCACTCATCAGGCAATGTCTACGGGCAACTGACTGCACTCAGACCAAAGGGGGCTGAAAAATTACCCAAACAAAAATGTTTGGAATCATGTATGATTTTTGTTCTACTTCTCACGTGTACAACACTTTGTATTGGTCTTTCACGTGGAATTCCAGTAAAAATGATTCATGTTTGTGGCTGTAATGTGACAAAATGTGGAAAAGTTCAAGGGGGCCGAATACTTTTGCACGCCACTGTATAAAGGGTGGAATGGTTATGAACAGATTATGTACGGAGAGACGAAGTATACAGATGAACTCTGAGTAGACTATAATAGCTAACAGTGTATGCACTGTACCAGAGAGCATACTATGTCAGTGTCCTAAACTACAGTATTAACCAATATGAGCATACGGTGAATGTTACAAATGAATGTGAATCATGATCATGGTCCCTGAGAGGGATAAGGGGTTATGGATGGAGAATTAGTGTGGATGGAAGCAGCAGGGGACTGAGTTCAGTAGGGTGACAGCTGTGGGGAAGAAGCTGTTCCTAAACCTGCTGGTTTTAGTCTGTAGGGTCCTGTAGAGTCTTCCAGAGGGGAGGAGCTGGAAGAGTTTATTGGCAGGATGAGAGGAGTCCCTGAGAATGAAGTGTGCTCGGCGTAGACATCTCTTCTTGTGGACTTCCTCAATGGCAGGAACATGAGGGAAAGAGGAACAGGTGGCAAGACAGCTGGAACTAATTGGGCAAGACAAGGAAGTAAAGCACAATACAATAACATGAGACAAAACCTTCAAAGTAAAAAAAGAAATCCACAGACTAAACCTAGAGGCACAATGCTAACACGGAACAGTGGGAACACAGAACCAAAACCTAAGAACTAACAAAGACACATCAAGAAATCAAAGAGTAATAATACCAAAATGGAAAAGACTGCGTCGCCGACCCAAGACCGTGACAAAAGAAATAACTGGGAACAACCATATTACAATCCTCTGTAATGCACATTGAACCTTTAGGGCCTTCTAAATCTAACTAATGCAAATAAATCACACTGAGGTTTCTTTACACTGAGAGATTTCTTTGCGTTAAAGTTTGCACTTTGCTCACGGTTCAGCATGAGGTGGGACTGCAGCGCTATCAGTGATTCAGGTTACAAGTTAACCTGTGACCTGTTCTCAGGATGTATCTAGTCAGAGATAGATCATTAGTCATAGTTGTTCTGTGTATATGTTCCTATTAAGTGGATTTAAGATTTATGTCGAGTTTAAAGCTAAGGCATTTGGAGGATTTATTTAATGGTTCCACAATATGACTTACCCCAGACAGGCTGTTGTCACAGAAGAGCAAACATGTCCTCTTGTGTTCAAAGTTGACCATGAAAAGTTGAACCTTGACATACCTGGACATGTTGTCTGCTGTTCACTTGTAGCAGGAGAGTTGAATAGAAGATATGGAGTCAATATACAATCTTCTCTGCTTGGAGTGGATAGATGGCAGGAGTATTTTAATATTTTTGACTGTTTTTCTACTGTTGACAGATATTCTGAAGAACAGAGTGCCAAAAAACTTTCCTCCTGGACCCTGGGCTCTTCCTTTCATTGGTGACCTTCATCGTATCCAGTCTACCAGACTTCACGTGCAGTTGACAGAAGTATGAGTCCTTACCAAAATAAAAAATAAAGGTATTACATTTGAGGTTTCAAAAACCTTCATTCAACCAGACAGATTTCACCTGCAGCTGACTGACTAGTCATAAAACAAGAAAACTAATGTGAAAGGAAACAAACATGTGAAATGAATCACTGGAGTGCACGGAGGCATAATTTACACTGGAGTAGACAGAGTTGTTATTTAGCTTGCATGAAGCTTGAAGCAACTATATAATGATTAAGGCTTTATTTAGCAAACTTTTACTGGCTTGTGCAAGCCCTACATACAGGGTCAATAACAAGTAAAAATATTAATTTATAAAATGGAATCGTCAACCTAGAAAAACAAATCTAGCACAATTCATAAATTAAATGGACCCTAAAATATACTGCATTAGGATTGTAATATTTTAGTTTATAGACATAAAATTAGTTAATCTGTAACATTTTAATCAATTACATTCAGCAATGCACTAATTCCAATTTCTTAAAAGTTAATTTTTGAAATATTTGTGATAGTAATTTGGGTTCTTCTTTTGAAGTTTGGACTGTTTGCTTAACCAAATACGCGTTATATGTATAATGTACTTGTACGTGCTTGTAAATAGTTATTTATTTTTCTTTCTATTCAAATATTTTTAACAAGTGAAATTATCACGACAAAAAGGTTAATTATTTTTAGTCGCATTCCTATGTGTATATTTGGCTTCAATCAACCTAACAGGTTGTAGCCTACTATGACTAAATTTTAGCAGTGCTGATATTTAGTAAACAAAAAACAGCAACAAGTATTGATTGTAGAAATGATAAATATAAATAGCCTCCTCAGAATGTATCTTGTTCCAAAAACAACAATATGCTGTCTGTGTTCAGTTTGCAGAGAAATATGGAAACATTTTCAGCCATTTTCAGGAGAGAAACTCAGTCTGGACTTCATTTTGGGAGCCACACGCAGTCCCAAACCTTATCGTCTGTGTGCTGTGCCACGTTAGAGCATGAGTTATCCTAAACTGAGCATGTCTGTTTCTCTGCTCTCTCAATGACTGTCTTCTGCTATTATTTTCCGTTGTTTTTAAGTTAACTCCAGTGAAAACATTTCTTGAAAAAGGCAAAGCCCTGTGGCTGTTTGGGAACTAAGGATGCTGGTATTTTACAGAATAAACAAAACAGAACATCCACCAGCCAGCAATATTCACACATGGCTTGGAAAGTAACGATAAAAAGATCTGTACCAAATTTACTTTTTTCATATATTCCACCTCTAAGTTTCAGGATGGCTGCTAGGTTTTGTGTAACAAGCATAGGAACAAATGAAGTGTGGACATAAGCTCCTCAGTGCAGGCTCCAACCATGTTACATAAGACTGAGGACATCTTGGGAATTCCAATGTAAATAACAAGTCAGGAGGTTGAGCTCTTCCAGCTGGTTACTATGGAGCTGATTGTAAATTGAAGCTTCAAACTTCAAAATGTATTTAGCTCCAAACTTCTTAAAAGTCTGCTTTGATATTGCTTTTCAAGTCACAGATATTTGCAGAGTTTTTAATGTAAATCTAAATGTAACATAAACATGTTAAGTATATGTGCCAGTTCTAAATATTATTGGTTAAATCTAAATGTTATGGGAAACAAATTTGCAGTATTAACAACCCATTCATTCCCATTTGAGTGTTTCAATACAGCTGGATGATGCAAAAGACTAAAGTACACAAATAGCAATTTG